ATTTTTTTTCCCAACCCTTCGCCTAAAAGAGGGAATATTTTTAGACTGCTCCGACCCAGTCTAAACGCTACGTAAGCCGTTCGGTTTCACGGCGGTTTGCGATTACAGGCGCTCGGACGACGAAGAAAAAAAATCGTCGTTCGACGCGTTCAACCAGGGAGGCGAATTGCTCGTGCAGCATCAGCTCTTCATGGAGCATCATGTTCAAAAATCCATGAAAATCAAGTCAATCTAAAAATATTCTTCCTTTTAGTGCGCCCAAAAGGAGGAATATTTGTTAGCATCGCCTCGGATCAATAATTTTAGCTCGGGGGAGAAACAGAATTGTTCTCTTAGAAGATCTTGATCGATGCTTCAGCACAGACTCGGATCAGATTCGGCAGATTTCCTTTTACATCAAATTTTAAATGTTTCATATGCGTAAGCTCGGCACATCTCCACCGTCGAATCTCAAAAGCGATCACTAAAGCCCTGGAATAAATATTTGAAAGGTTTCTTCCGCGGAATTTCCCTCACAATTTTTCTTCTTTTTTTTTTCTGGCCGCGACGGACGAACTCTCAAAGACCCAACCATTTCTCTTCTCCCTCCTTTTCCGGTTGTCAAAGTCCTCATGCGCGCCATTCTGCGATTACCGCAGAGCTCATACAGGCCTCATTCCGCACGCCCGTTTGTTTGCACGTAGAGAACCATCAGCAACCAATTTGATATCTTGCACCCTCCCCCCCCNCGAGTCTGTGCTGAAGCATCGATCAAGATCTTCTAAGAGAACAATTCTGTTTCTCCCCCGAGCTAAAATTATTGATCCGAGGCGATGCTAACAAATATTCCTCCTTTTGGGCGCACTAAAAGGAAGAATATTTTTAGATTGACTTGATTTTCATGGATTTTTGAACATGATGCTCCATGAAGAGCTGATGCTGCACGAGCAATTCGCCTCCCTGGTTGAACGCGTCGAACGACGATTTTTTTTCTTCGTCGTCCGAGCGCCTGTAATCGCAAACCGCCGTGAAACCGAACGGCTTACGTAGCGTTTAGACTGGGTCGGAGCAGTCTAAAAATATTCCCTCTTTTAGGCGAAGGGTTGGGAAGCACAAGTCTCGAATAGAAACATCCTCCAAAAAAGGGATAGCAGTTCGATCGAGCACGTCTCCGAGGCAATATCTTCAGAACGGCATCGCAGTCGCACATCGCCCGTAGCCGAAATGCCATCACGAGCCACAGCGACGTTGATGTGGGAATACTGCGGTCTCGTTCTCGCCTCACGTCGGCCGCGCTCCGACGAGGCACTCGTGCGTGGGAATCCGACTGGATGCAGTCGCACTATTATTGTAACTGCGGTCGACGTTATTTGGAGATCATAGATTCCTGAGTAGATTCTCGTGCAAGCGGGATATAACGAAAATTGAGCTGAGAAAAAGGCGCGACTTCGTTGGTTTTAATTTTTTTTTTTTACGGCCTAGCCAGATTTCAATTTACCTGAAATCGTGTTAGAAATCTGAAATTTGATCGAATTCTGTTACTCAGATCCCCGCGATTCTGCTGAGATGACCTTTGTGCTTGAAAGGCATGTCGTGCTCTGAAATTCTGCGTACATTATTCTGAATCGAGACTGGCGATTTTAAAGTGGATCTCCCGCGCGGTCTACGTGCCGACGGTGAAACCCGCGCGAACAAGAAGCGAAAGGTCGCCAACAATTTCTTTTCGTTGGGAAAAACGGCATCGCGATCGAGCAGATGTCGAATCGGAGAAGGAGGAGCGGACGGAAATCTCTCTACCAGTCACGAGAGACATCTAGTGGGGATCGAGTGAAGGCAGGACGTTATTCCACGTCCGTTTCCCAGTTGTTTAGTCAGAGAATTGAGTTGAGGCTTCTTGGGCCGTCGTCGGCACTATTTCAGTAAGCTTCACGAGATGCACATTTACGAGAATAATTAAACATATATGAATGAATATTTATCAGATGAACCCCTAAACCTTTCCAATTAAACCCATCTGGTTTAATTCGAAAGGTTTAGGGGTTCAGATAGTTCGCACAGTTTGCGAAAATTAAAGACTGAAGGATTCTCAGGAACAAAATTCACTCTTTCTCTCCCTCCGCGTAAATCTATTTCATGATGCAAAGACACCCGTATTTTTTATATTTTTTTATTAAAAAATAATATATTTATATTATTATTATTTTTTTACTATGGACCAACGGGATGGATACCATACTCGGTTCAACGCGCCAAACGAAAGAACACGAGGCGGGCAACTCTACGGGTCGGCCAGTCCTCAGGGTTGAGGGTTCGAACGCGCGAAGCCGCCTTAGAAAGGCGCTCCCGAGGGAGGGCGAGCGCGGCTTTGGTCCATGCTTTCGCCTTTTCCCCCGCCCTTTCTTCGTTCCATTGTGTTGCCGGACAATATCGTCTGGACAGAGGCAACGTGGAAAATTCGCACCGACACAAATGAACAGACGAATGCGTCGCGGGAACTAAAAAAAAAAAACACGAAATCAACAGGTTTGAGATTTTGTTCGCGGCAGATGAAGTTCCGAATGGGCCATCCCGTGCAACGCAGAAACGAGATGATGCAAATGGGAAGCGACCTGGAGTATTTCGTGCGCGGAGAAAATCATCGCGAAAGGGTTGAATTTTTTTTTTTTAAGCCCGATCATTTCAAACCTCTTTCATCCTACTTCGGGTCTACCTGATGCATTCTCTTTTAACACCTCTCGGTGCATTATACCTTTCTCAACCAATCCACTGGCAGTCCGCGTCGCGTAATCACGACACTACCGACCTTTCGCGCAACTGCGACTCAACCCAATGCTAACTAGTTCAGATCGGCATCACGATTAGGATTCGAGGTTTGCGCAGGGGGCGTCGAGGCATTTTCGCCCATCATGACGACCCGGGCAAAGGTCGTGCTATCAGATACAGAAGATAAGCCCAGAAGATACCCTCTTGAACACAATACACCATTCCAAGAAGAAACAGAGTGCTCTCTTCTCTCTCTCGAGTGGATATTGCCCTTTCTTTCCTAGAAATTCCGAGCACCTATCACGACGAACTCATCAAGGTTGGAAGGTCTCTTCGTTCCCCTTGATTTAGGATATAACACATGACGACTTGTGCAGGAGTTGGGATAGGGTGATCGAGGAAAAATGGAAGGGATATTCAGTCCACTGCCTCTCTACCGATTTTTTTGTTTGTTTTTGGAATGGTGCATTTTTGTGGGAGCATACGTTTTGCCTTGTCCATGAAGACATATAACTTCTTTGTATGAATAGACTCGGAAAGGGCAGCCACTACGTCACCTAACGAGTTACACCAGCATTCACTACCTTATAAGCAAATTTAAATGAGTTCGGTGCTTCACTCGGTGGCTATTTTACGGGGGGGGGGGGGGGGGGGGGGGG